TATATTGCTTCAAACCTCCGAAGTACTCATGCGAGGAGTATGGTAGCCTACCGTAACCTTCCCTAAGTATTCCCAACATACCTTTTTGAGAATACCACATGTGCAATAAGTTAAGTTCAAGCACAGAGGCTAGGGACAAATACGGTTAGCCTATCATTGTTAAGTATATACGCGAGAGTGGTATATAATTAAGATTCTACAGACTTAGGATGTGTGTTTCCGCCCTATCTCATGTTCCTTGTCTGGTTGTGGACCTGGGGCCAAGTAGCACCTCCGACTGTCTCATCAATCTTAATTATATACGACTTGTATACACGAGACGATGATAGATGAACTAGGAATGAGTCCTACCATGAACTTCAAGACAAAAGCTGCTCAGAACTACGAATGGACATCTTACCATAAACATAGACAAGCAAGTCAACCCCACCTCTCTCCCTTGTCCATAACCAATCACTCAGAATCCGAATTTTGGGGCGAAATTCCCTCTATGGGGGGGATGATGTGACAACCCGATACTTTCCAGTCAACAAAAGTCAATTCTACTAAATATAAATTTTGAATTTTATTTATTTTGTCAATTTTTTCAAGCTCGTAAGGGTTGAGAACAACTTAGATTATATAAATTAAATTTATATAAGTGTCAGGACTAAAATCGTGCGAAGAATCAAGTTTTTTCTAATAAAATCAGCCAAGTCTCGTTCATCTCGGTGTTTACGGCCGCAAACGCGTTTACGGGCGTAAACCGTTCATGGTCGGGGGCCCGACCTCCGACCGTAAACCCAACCTATATATATGTGTTTTTTACCCTCATTTCTACATTTCTGGCCGAAAACTAAACATTCTCTCTCTAAACCTACCAACCGAAAACTTACGTTTCTCTTTTCTATCCTCCGAAAATCATCCAATTCACCTTGGATCTCGTTTTGGAGCATCAAGCATTCGTTATCTCATCAAATCAAGCACACTTAATTCTTGAGTTCACGGCCGTGAAACCTTCAAATCTTCATATTTTCACCAAGAACACCAAGAACATGCCGCAAACCATTCAAGGGCCGAAATCAGTTCACGGCCGCAAACGGCCCGAATCAGAATCTTGGCTGTAAACCCACTTTTCCACTTCGATCGAGTCTCGGTAACATTCCTAACCCGAAAACAAGTGTTTTCTAACACTTCAGATAAATGGTTTCGCTAAATTAAATGCAATTGTGTGTTTAATTATTATTAGGATACCATTAGTCCCGTGTACGCCAACTCGAGGGTCATATTTCCAGTCTCGCTATCCAGCACGCACACATAAAACCACGGTGAGTTCATACCCTCTTATTTTTCCAAGCTTTTTCAATGTTTTTATGGGGGGAATACAAGTAAAACACAAGTAATCTTGTGTTTAAAAATATAATTTTGTTTATTATATTATCTACCGTTCGCAAGCATTTGAACATGGAACTTACCAAACATGGCAAACATGGTGCATACTAGACTTACGAACAAATTACAAAAATACGTTAAGACTTAACTATTTACAAGCATAGATTTCAACTCGGAAACGAACTCCTAAACTAGTTTTAGTATAGTTTATGGAACGAACGAACTATTTTTACAAAGTTACATGACATTAACAAAAAGGGATTTTCATTGTATTATTCGTGAATTCGTTGAGAGAACCAAATCGTGAGACACGTCTTCTGGGAAGTCTACCCCTTAGTAACCAGAGTCTCCTGGAGGGAGAGCGTAAGTTTGTGTATAGATCTATACGAGAATGACAATCCCGCACCCTGACTATTAGCTACAGTCAACCTGGGGTGACAAACGTCATTACAGTTTACGATGTCCAAAGTACGTCGTAGTGTTTATCGTCCATCAGCATGGTTATAACAACTCACATGAAAAACAACGACTCGTTCACGTAATAATATACTTCACAAAAGGTCATCAGGGTTAGTAACTATGTGATTACTTAGTATGTACATTAGGGTGATATGAAATTAACATCCGAAATGCAGTGGAATGTGTAACTTCCGCCTCATTTCCTGTTCCTTGTTTGGTTGTGGGCTTAGGGCAGAACCACCCAATCGACTGTCTGTTCGATCTAAATTTCTATAACTCGTATGTACTAAGTGATCACAGGAGGGTATTAACAACACTTCCAGTTTACAGAACACACTATACATACTGGTGGTAGCCAGGGTTTTCAAACAGAACAATGTTTTAACAACATAAGTATGGAAAATATAGGGTTTTCCAGGACAAACATCAGTATTTTACAAACAATCGGTTTATCATTCAACTAACGAACATTCATTGTTAATTCAATAATTCTTTAGTTTATGCATCCGGGTTATATATGAAGAGTATCCGATAGACCGTGGAATGTGTGGTTTCCGCCTCATTTTCATAGGACTAATACAGTTGACTCTGTAAGTACCTAGGGGATACGTCAGGGTTAGGTACATGAGGATCCGACAACCAGTAGGATGTGTGGCCTCCGCCTCATTCCTGTTCCTTGTTTGGTTGTGGGCTTGGGGAAGAACCACACAATCAGTTGTTTGTTTGATCTGGAGTGTATATAATCTGAATACACTAAGTACTCGCATAAGGAACTAGTAAGAATCATTTTACTTAACGATCATTACATCAGAAAATATAGAGTTTTCTAGAGAATCACATCACGCTTTTTAAAGAACAAAGAACCTGTTTCTAAACAAAGCACTTATGAACTCACCAGCTTAAATGCTGATACTCTTTCAAAACTACTTGTATTCTCAGGACACTAGTAGACAGGTACCCACACTAGATTCTAGAAGATGGAGCATAGTAGCTTCAAGTCTTTATCAGTTATTTACTTTTAGAGTCAACTATATATGATTCGAATACTATGTAAACATTATACTATTAATACAATGGTTGTTGTTTCTTTGATTACTATTATTCAATTGTTGTGATACTGTACATGACGTCCTCCGCCACAGAACGTTTCCGCCGTTCCGGTTTGGGGGTGTGACAATCGACGTCTCCGCCTCCGCCATGGCTTCCACTAGCGACACCCTCCACTTCCGTGAAAACTCGTTGACAACATTTAGGTAAAAAAGTTCATTTGTTCTTTCAAATCTTGTCGAAAGCAAGCTTTTTTATTTTGTTCGTGCCCTAAAAATATTGAATAGTTGGTTGTTGTCTTCTTCCAACTATCCCTTAAAAATCGTGAAAAGTTGTGTGATTTATGAATATTGAAATGTATGATGTGCATGAAACACTCCTTAACCTACTGCTTTGCAATTATGTCCATTACATTTGATATGACCATGCAGAGAAGCTGAGATCAAAGGCACCATCATGTTTTGAAGTGCCTCAATCAGATGTTTTGATTGCCAAAGTTTTGCAAATCTGCAAATTTTGGTTAAGTTTGCCACAGTTTTGCAAAACTACTAGTTTTGGTTAAGTTTGTACTGTTTATTGAATCATTAGTTCATGTGATTTTTTACTGTTATGTTTTGATTAATTTTTTTGCTGATAAAAGAGTGATAGAATGTTTGGTTGTTGCTGCAATATATGTTTTCCATGGATTGAAAGAAATGAATTTGTTAGAATTTATATTTAATTTGGTTATATTCTATGATGTTTATGTTTCCATGGAATGAAAGAAGTGAATTTGAAAGAATTTATGTTTAATTTGTTTATTGTATGATCATTTGTAATTTTTATCAGGTACGCATTTATCATTTAGCACAACATATATAAAAGGGTAAAATGATCATTTTTATCATTCAGATTACAATTTAGAGGTTGCAATCAAACATGTTAAAAATTCAGACCCTCTTAGAATTCAGACTTCTTTAAAATCCAGATCTTATAAATTCAGATCTTACCAGACAGTCCCTATGTAACCAAAAACTTATGTTATATTTATGATTAAATAAAAAAATTCATTTACCTAAATATGAAAATTGGTTAATAACCCAATCTTTAATCGATTATTAAGTGTATATAACGCCGTAAAAGATGGGTTGTGGATCGGACGAGATACCGTTGATGGTTGAGCGGGTTGATGAGGGTTGAAAGTTGAGGGTTAAGCGGGTTGATGAACTCCGGGCTCTTTTTCTTGTTATCTTCTCTCAATTCTCAATTTTATTTGTATCATATGTATAATAATGCAGCTTTGAAGACTTCCATCTCCAAAAAGTTTGGATGGTTGGAGTTAGTAGAGGGAAATGTTGATTTCAATTATATATTTTTATAATACAACTTTTTTTTATTATTTAAAACAACGGATAAATACTAAAATCAACAAGCTTCCGATGTTGATTTTTATATTTATAAAGTTTTCCGCTATTCTACAACAATTGATAAAAATTGTCCTTTAATCTACTATTTACCACGCAATTCTGATATAATGCAGAGATTTTATTCAATTTCTTTTTCCAGACACTGTTTCTTAACTTTCATGAATATAGCAATTTTTTTTTCTAAAGATGTCAACAGAATAGTACCATTTTTTGTTTCAAAAGCGTATACCCTAAATTTACATATGTTCTTACTATCATTACAAATGAAAATTATACTGACCTTTCTAATTACACATAAAATACAATTTTAAATTTCATCATTTTAGATTCAATCATAAATAGATAGCTTCGTTGGATAAGGTAGAGAAATTTAATATATAAGCAGGAACAAACACTACACAAATAAGAATAAAATAAAATTATATTTTTGGTCATGGATATAGTGATTTTTATAATTTTTGTAAATTTTTTTTTACAATTGTAGTCATTATTTAAAAGTTTTTTTTAAAAATATTTTGTGGTCCCTAATCCAAGAAAATGTACACTCTTTGGACATAATATGCAGAAATCGGCTAAGACCAAAAACATTACAATAAACCAACGTTACAATAAAAAAAAGGCTAAAATTATAAACATCAGCTATAATCAGGGACCAATAGTGTAATTTACTCTAAAAAGTAGTAAAAAAAAAAAAAAAAAAAAGATAGAGGAAAAATATTATGAGCTTGGTGGTGGCCGGCTAAGACTGAGCTGATTTCGATTCACGGCTCCGGTGGCAAAGCCAGGGCCAGAACTAGAACCGGCTGAGAAAATGCTAGCGAGTGCAGCCATGGCTTTAACTTGCATTTCAAGAGCTGCAATATAATCGGCCACTTCTTCTAATAAAACAGGGAAAGGCTGTTTCCGGCAGCCGGGAACTAACCTCCCGAGATCACGTGTTTTCCGTTTCACCGCCGGTAAATTCATGGACTTCAACCTCAAAATACCCAATCTCGGCTTCTTAAACCGACTATTACCGGTCGCCGTCGCAATGGCACCTCTTTGCCTCAGATTACTCTTCATGAATTTATGCTTCAGTTTGTTTGAGAGAATAGCTCGGCTCCATCGACTCCGCCCTTTCGCCGCCATTGCAAGGACACGGTCAGCGGCTTCGCGAACCGCACGTCCACGAAGCGGAACAGAATGTGAAGACGTACCGGAGCTCAGCCGGAGATGGCGGAGAGCTTCGAAAAGTTTGGAGCTATATGCTTCCTGTCGATCTTCTGATTTCCATGACGTAATCTCGTCGTGGTCATTATTCATGTTTTCCGGCACCTGATTTCTATTGCTGCTAAATTGCTTTAGCATTTTCTTCTTCTTTCTCCGCTTCGATGAATCACGTAGTGCGTCTGTGTTGTTCGTCATCGGATTTGAAGCCGCCATCTACAAAATTCCGTTCCCAATTGTTCTTCCGGTTGATGTGAAGACAAATAAACTTCTAGTAGATTATAAATCCGAGCATGTCAGGAACAAGACAAATCATTCACATCAATATTGAACATACAGATTCGTACTGGGAAAATTACAGATTCGTTTTCTTATCCGAATGGGAGATTACAAAATCTCAACATTGTAACCAAATCTACCAATCGAATCAGAGCTCTTTTTCAAACAATCAAACAGAGAAAATAATAAACCAACATTCATTATCTAATAAATATCTACACGAAGGATTACCTTTAAGAAGAAAACGTCGATATTAATATTCTTCTTCAGCTACAAAGAATATACTCCCATTTACGAGGAATTTTGAAGAGAATCAACTCTGTTTAGTTCTTTCTTTTCTGTTTGAACGGGAGAGAAAGAGAGAGATGGTGGGATATGAAGTGGGGGAGTAAACTACAGATTTACAGGGTAGCACGCATTGGCCCGTTCGCCTCCGTGTCTTTTAAATCTAGTGTAATTTTCCGTTTTAGCCCTTTTAGTATTGAATATTTACATAAAAGTCCTTATTTTGTTTCTTTAACATTATGGTGGTGGTGAATTGGACCCATTGCCCCCATTTGGTGGCCTAAACTTCTTGTCTGCTTTAGTTTGTCTCCATGACTATTGAAAGGCATCTGTCTGCACCAATTTCTATCGGCATGTTCCAACATGGCTCATGTTCGAAACATGGTCGACAAAAAGCTTGAGTTTTCGCTTGAAATGTGTAAAGGTGATCTATTTATTGGATTTGGGGTACAAACTATTGTTTTGTCTCGACTCATATTAGAAGTAAAGTGAAGCAACATGGTAGCGAAGGGTCAAATATGCAAGCTCTTCGTAGTGGAAACATACTTAACATTAGATGCCTATTTATGATCCATGTAAGTAACCATTACACCAATGAAAAATACATAGTTCATTTACATTGACATCAAAACATAAGGCTAAGGGAGTGGTTTTTTTTTTTTAACTGCAAACTAATCTACTCCTAACTATCACAACCTATGTTTCAAGCAAGACTTGAACTCATGACCTCTCAAATGAGAAGGCCCCTCCTTACCAACATGTCACATAAACATAACATAATGGTAAAGAGTGGTAACATGTTTTTGAACAAAAAAAAAGTCACTCAATCAAGAAAAAGTCACAAACCTTCTACTCTCTCTCTCACACACACACACACACACATATACACACCGATGAACTAGCGAGTTCATATTAGCGCACACCCTTAGTGCATGCTAGGGGTGGTTTTCATGCACGCTAAGAACTTTGTCGAGGGCTCTTGGCGTATCTACTCCCTAAAGCATAAGAGTAAACAACTAACAAGTTGTATGGTAAAGAATATTTTTAGATTTTTTTCCTTATTGTGCTTATTTTGTAAAGAATTAAATTTTAGAAACTTTAAATTTTTCAGATTTTTTCTTTCAAAGAAAAAAAAAGTTATGGCTAAAAAACGAAATGAGTCGAAAAAAAACTCCACCAAATGAGGGCTTGACATGTGTCAGAGAGAGAAAAGAGAGGGAGGGTGAGAGGGGGGTGGAATTCACGATGTGGTAAAGAATACTTTTAGATTTTTTTCATGATTGTGCTTATTTTGTAAAGAATTAAATTTTAAAAACTTTGAATTTTTCACATTTTTTCTTTCAACAGAAAAAAAAAGTTAAGGCTAAAAAACGAAATGAGTGGAAAAAAACTCCACCAAATGAGGGCTTGACATGTGTCAAAGAGAGAAAGAGAGGGAGGGTGGGGTGGAATAATCAGTCGTCACAAACCTCCACCAGTCCTTCGCTCTGAAGCGAAGCTGGTTCAGCGCAAATCGAACCTTCAGGTCCTCAGGGCATGAACAAGTATAGAAACATCCCTCGATATCAGAAATCCATCTCATAGCAGAAACTGGGTCCAGTCGGATGGCTTCGTGTTGCTGAACTCTCGGAGCAACAACGAATCACCCTTTGTGGCCTCGCAACTGCAAGGGCTGCAGAGGCAGCGGCAGCGGCAGCGGCAACCTCTGTGCAAACAACATAACGCTCGTTGAAAGTCTCAATCAACGTGGTCTTAATAGACCTGAACATCTCTGGAATAACCTCCCTGATAGCTGCGGCCACCTCACTAGCAATGATTATACGAATCTCCTCATCACTGGTACTCGCCCTCTCGGGGTTGTCGGAGCCTGAACCTTGGGTAGCCACCATAATCTCTCTTTGAAACCTAAACACGGAAATCATCAAGGACAGGCTAAAGCACACATGTATATACACGTCCCTACATGCTCATTAGTATCCCGAGATTCTTACTTGAGTCGTGTACAGATCTGGTGCTTTCAGTAGTACGGGCCCAATACTACGTTCCACACCAACCCGCATTCGCCTCAAGTCCTCCTCTTAGGATCCTAACTCACAGGTACTCTACCCCTCATGGGTATCCAACTACTCTCTCAGTAGACTCCTCAAGCTAAACATCTAGATACTCCTCCTAGATCTCTCCTCAACTCTAATCCATCTCGTATAGATCTCCGCCATGTACAACTAAACAACATATAGAGCAAATGGCAAGAATAATGTCGTTCAAGAACGACCTCCCAGGCTAAGGCATCATGAATCAGGCAACTCTAACTCAAAATTCCTGAAAATAACTAGCCTAAAATCTAGCATGCAGTACTAATAGCTCAATAGTAACTCATCTTATAATATACTCAAGTAAGGGTATTCTGGGAAATCACCGCTCGGGCTCTGGCTGTTTGTACACACTGCTTCGTCTCGTTTTCTCTTGAATTATGTTTGCTCATTTAGAAAACCATTTCTTTTTGAAATTTTTTTCTCAGATCCTCAGTTTGATTCCAGACATACCCGAGGGTACATCCGAATGCCTCAAACGAAGGCTCTGATACCAACTTGTAACACTCTAAATTTTCAAATAAAATTTTCATTTTTAATTTCACGAAAAACACAGTTTAACAACTCATACTCAATTTATAATTGTTTCAAAACACAACCACATAAAAACTGTTTGTCACAAATCCCAGAATCCTCAAAACATAAATCAACAAGCTGGTGTGTACAATCATACTGACGCCTTTCTGCGATCCTGAGATGTACCTGAAACACATTTCACACAACACTGTGAGCACAAAGCTTAGTGAGTTTCCCAATATAACAAACACACTAATTAGCCTCTCATGGCTATAACTCAATAAGGACCCTCCGTTCATGTGTCTCAGTGAAGACCCTCCGGTCTCACGGCTCGGGTTGGACCCTCCAGTCCCGTATCTCAGTAAGGACCTGCGGTCTCAAAATCCGGGTTGGACCCTTTGGTCCTATCTCAATAAATGCATAGAATAATATACAACATGAATCACAAAGAAAAAATGCATAATATCACATATCTCGGTATAAACACATAAGACCCTCCGGTTAATAACACAGATAAGACCCTCCCGTCGCACAGTAATTACCACTCAGGTAAGTATAGTGAGAAGGCTCACCTCGTAAAGTAAAGCAGTATATCCCGTACCCGAACTGCCGGTCTAGACTCCGACTAACATATATTATGTATTACTCTAATTAATAATTGATATTAACAACCCCCAAAAGATGTTAGGCTAAGTTCCCTGACTAATTCTCAGAAGGGTAAAATACCATTTTACCCCTCCATGGCCTCTAAAGTCCACAACTTGACCAAAACCCTAAAAGTCAACGAAAGTCAACACCCAGTGCGTACGCTAGGCGTACGTCCCTCTACGTTGGACGTTCAGTCAGTAAAGCATGCATCGGGGTGGCTCAGCAGTACGCTGCGCGTACCTGGGAGTACGCACGACGTACTCCCCAGGTTTCATCTTTTCACTCTTTTAGTCTTAATCCATTAAGACCATTTCTACTACTACATATCTGGGCTAGATAAGGTCCATTACTCCATAAAGTTGGTTACTTTAATCCTTAGCATGGTTGGACAAGTCTAAATCTCATAAACTCTCATCCTTTACTCACAAGGGTCCTCATATCTCACGCATGGAGAGATCTTGACGTCCAAGATCTCATTTTTATGAGTCCAAACAACTAGAAATACCTAAATGGACATGTATTATGCTCTGGAGTTCACAAAACTCATAAATCTTCAAGCTTGGGACATAAAACCCTAAAAATGGACCAAAACATGAACTAATCAAACAATGAGAAAGCTTTGAGCTTGATACCTCTGAATGATGCACCAACCACAGAGAAACTCAGATCCAAAAGCTTGGACACCAACTCTTCTTCCTTCAAAGCACCTTCTTCACAAAAGAATCCCACAAAATCACTCAAGAAGCCTCAAATGCTCACACAAGCTACAAGAATAGAATTTAGGGTTTGAGGGACGTTGAAGGCTGGAAATGGTGGCTGTAAATGAGGCCATCATGTTCCTTAAATAGGGACACACCGCACGATTAGGATTTTTCACTCTGAGCCTAGTACGCCTAGCGTACCCTCTGGTACGCCCAATGTAATATGTAGCCTCTGCGTCCATAATACGCACATGAGTACGCTGAGCGTACACACGCATACGCCCCACGTACTCATTTGCCACCTTTTTTCAATTAAGGGCTAGTTTTGACAATTCAATAAAAGTAAGGGTTATCGATACATACCTTATTTCGGGGTGTTACAATTCTCCCCCACTAGGATTAGACTTCGCCCTCAAAGTCATCCTCTGGAAACAGCTCTGGGTACTACTCACGCATCTCAGACTCTGACTCCCAAGTCCATTCCGAACCCCTACGATGCTACCACTGAACCTTAACCAAGGGCACCTCCTTATTTCTCAAGATCTTCACCTTCTTATCCAAAATCGCCACCGGCTTCTCAATGTAGTTCAGGAGATCATCAACCTGAATGTCCTCCAAAGGGACCACTGCCGACTCATCGGCTACACACTTCCTCAGCTGGGATACATGGAAGGTGTCATGAATCTGGCTTAACTCT